GTGTGTGTGAGGATGAATGGTGGCCTGTCTCGTCCCCCCGTACTGCTGCTCCTTGCTAATTGGTCGTCGGCTTAAGTGCTGCTGCTGCACTATTCTCCAGATAGATGGGAAGGAGGGAGAGACTCAGGGAAGGAGGGGGAGAGGAAGGAGGGAGAGGAAGCAAAAGGGAGGGAGGAGGTGAAGGAATAATGCAACGGAGAGAGGGAGGGACAAGTGATTGATGGGTGAGATGGGGCTGGATCGAAGGATGCATGAATAAAAAGAGGAGAAGGGTCTGAGAGAAGGAGGGAGAGAGGAGAAGAGGGACGGAGGGAGAACGATGTGATATATGAGTGGAGGAATGTAGGCTGAGGAAAGGAGAGCAGGGTAAGACAAGGTCATGTGTTTTCCTGCTCTTATTCACATGTTTTCAACCCTGATTCTTTAGATTATAGAATCTGTTCAGTCAATAAATGTGAAGAAACCAAACTAAAATCAATACCTGTAAGGATGGTTATTCCACCCTGTGCTTCCTGTTCATGTAATCCCCCCTGCATCTGTTGGAAAGGCTTCTTTTAACCTCACAGTTGTTTACATCCTGTTACACTGATTTTCATTGTCTCATTGGATTTTTCTATTTTTAGCCTCATGTTGTGTTTTTCTTTTGTTTTCCAACGCAATGTCCTCTCTTGTCACATTAACTTTCCTGCTGCAGAGACTGAATTTCCCCCGGGGGGACAATTATGGAGTTCATTTAGGAAAAAATAAATATATATTTACTAAAAAAAATCCAAATGAGAGGATTTTGTCTTATCTTAACTTCATCTTTCAACAGTTCTAATCTGCAGGATCCAGCTTGAGATTTTGCCAACTTTCTGTGCTTAAAATGCTGCCAAACACTGTTGGAGTTTTGTGATAAAGAATCTGTGTGTGAGAGCCAGAGGTGCTTTTTTTGAGTATTTTAAAATGATGATCTCATTTTGGAAAATAACTCACATTTCTTTGTGTTGAAATATTAGATTTTCTTGTCGCTGGATCACATCTTGTTTTGGCTCCATGGAACTCTTGCTCTGTGGGACTTTGGCAAAATTCTCAACATCACTTTAACTGGATTATTACTATCCCTTGGAAGTCTCCAGAGAAGTATACCTTACTACCTACAAATCTATGGACACCCTTTATTTTGAAAAGAGGAAATTGGAAGTGTTAAGATTTGATCCAAACGTGGATCCTGCACCGAGAAGTTTACACTTTTTCTTATTTAATATTTCCAGGAAGATAAAGGACACTGAGGTATAATTCCCAAAACTTCAATGACCTCTGCCAGGTTTTCCATGACAGCTGGGGTGGGTGTGTGTGTGTGTGTGTGTGGGGGGGGGGAGTAGAGGGGAGAAAAGGAGGGCGACTAATGTCTTCCGAGGAGCGAGAGGAGAGGAATGAGACGCTTTGGCCAAGACACAGCAGTAACTCTCTACTCTGTTCATTAGACTGGCCCTGTTATTCCCAACACACACACACACACACGACCACACACCACACACAGACGGGGCGCCTTGCAGCAGGTGGGCTTTTTGATTTTGTCACCGGCAGGAAGAACCGTGTCTCATTTGCATACAGATGCCCCCTTCAGTGCTTAGGAGAGGGTGGCATACACCAGCCACACACACAGCACGACCGACGCACACACACACCACCACACACACAGCACACACACACACACACCACAACACACACACACACTGCTTCTTCAGTCCCTGCCCTCCAGATAGGGGCTATCAGCCTCTCTTTCTTTCTTTTTTCTTTCTTTCTTTCTTTCTTTCTTTCACTTGTCTCCCTTCCTCCCCTCTTTTTTCCTCAGTTATTCTCAGTTTTGCAGTTTGGTGAAGAAACCCCAGGAGATTGGAAAGCATGTCTGTGTGTTTATATATAAATATGTGTGTGTGTGTGTGTGTGTGTGTGCATGGATATTTTTGTGCACCTCCTTTGTGGTGCAAACTTTCTATGGATTGGATATGTGCTCTTGCAAGATTTTTACTGTGTATGTTTGCATTTCTGTCAGTGTATTTATCATCGTGTTTGAGTGCCTTTACACGTGTTTGTTTGCATGCGTGAGTGTGTGTTTGTGTGTGTGTGTGTGTGCGCATCTTGGAGGCTCTTGCACCTTGCATCTGTTCTCGCTGGCAGAGCTTTCAGGAGTCTCATGTGCCGGTGTCAAACAACGGCGGCTTGTTTGCAGACCCCAACACTGAACTGATACACATTCACACACTCTTGAACGCACACTCACCAGGACAACAAGAATGAGAGCTGAATTTCAAACCAAATAAATACTTGGAGACCATGGTGCAGTTGAAAAGGAGAGGGAAAAAGAGGGTAAATGCAGCTGGGCTGAACAGTGAAATGAAGCTTTACAGGAAAATTATCCACAATGTTGAATGACTTATTTCCAAAATGCAACATACTGAGATTCATGCTTCAGACAGCCAAAAACGCAGTATGTTTCATTTAATTCAAAGTTAAAGCGAGGCACCAGAACTCTTTCTAAAAGATAATTTTCCGACTGCAAAAAAGGTGCACTTTAATCTGTAGAAGCTTAAATGTGTTCCTAGGTATTGATAAATACATTTTTTTTCCTATTTACATTTTTTATTTCTTTAGAGACTATTGGCCAAGACTGCAGCACAATTATGTTACACATACCAACACATTCTGGGCTACAGTGTCATAAATATCTAAGTGTAAAAACACATTTAATCCTCTTTCATTAGAGGGTTATTCAGCAGCTCTGTATGTCCCTTTGCACACACAAACCAACGTGAATTTCCAACATGAATTCCAGGCTGAAGCTCTGAAACATATTTAAGAGCGGCACACTGTGTGTCCGACAACTCTCTAGCAGAGCTGGAGAAACCTCATGCTGTGATTGGCTCGGGGGCAGCGATTACATCAGAGACTCCGCAGGCGCTATGACAACACTGGGAAGTCGCCGCAAGTTTAACTGGAGGTGGGATTGTTAAGTATGAGTGCGAACGCCTCGTTTCAGAACGAGCATGTGATCGTAATTTTACCTCTGGAGGTTATTTTACTTTTTAAAGAAACCCTGGAAGTTAGGAATATAATTTCAGAGAGGAAATTGCATTGTAGTAAAAGATATGGGTCATATAAATATGTTTCAGCACCATCATTCTGCCACCTGCCAGCCTGCCGCAGAGTACACACAAGTGAACTGGATGCATATGAAGGCACTTAAATCTGGACACAACATTGTTTTTCCACGTGGTTTGAGGTTGTACAAAGTGGAGGCAGAGTAGGAGAGAAACCACAGAAAGACACATGCAGGTTGTATTTCACATTATCTTCTCAGTGCTGGAAATGCAATTTGTTTGGATGATTTTGTGTCTTTACAAACACGTGAATGTAAGGTTAAAAACCTGCAAAAACTGTCACTCTTAGTGGATTTAATTTATTTACAACAACATCCTCCTAGCAACAAAAGCATGAATAATGATTTTATGGTTGTGTTTAGGCAACTCTAAGCACTTGGTTGAGGTTAGGAAAAGACTGTGGTCTTGGTTAAGTATTGAAAAATCAACGCTGACTTGAAGCACAAGATGGGATGCGTTGGCTTTTTCAGTGTTTAACCAAACCACCATCTTTTCCTAACCGTAGCAGGGGCTTTAACCCTAATCTACCCTCCTCCCTACTACTTCTGTGATTTATAAGCCACAAGGATTCCCTTGATTGCACAACAATATATCCAGGAAAAACAAACTATGTTTTCTTTAAAACATAGTCAGCAAAGTATATAAATGTATTTCAAACACAGAGGGTTGCATTTGCAGCACTTTCACAAGTGTTCAGTTAGAAACAACAATCCATTTAGTCTCTTCCACAGCTCAAACAAACAACCCGAACCTTCGACTCACAGCAGGACGGTATGAGCAGACTGACACACACACGCAGATCACAGCTTCCCCCTCCTCACTGCGCCAGTCACATGTCACGTCAGGGCAGAATTAAGAGTTTAGACAAATACAATTTCACCTCTGATCCTGTAATCCCGATCTCTGGTGGAGTGTGCGTGTGTGCGTGTGTGTTGGTGGGGGGGTGCAACGTGAGCCCAGTCAAGGCCCCTCTGTCCCTGAGGACTCACAACCTCAGTCAACACAAGCCTAGTGCCACACACACACACACACACGGACAACATAGCCTTTATAAATCCATAAATCTATCACACAGCGATCAAATGAGGCTCTAATTGTCAACGTCATTGCATAACAACAAGCAGAAGGTCAGCGGTTCTGGTCTGAAGGAAACTCACCCAGACGCCACTCAGCAATAAGAGACAGACAGCTTATTACTGTGTGTGTGTGTGTGTGTGTGTGTGTGTGTTTAAAAAAACTAATGGATGAAGACGGAGATAATGAAATGTTCGTTCAGTGGGTCAAAACACTTCTCTATCTACTCATCCTGACACACTCCGTCCTTCATTTCCTTTCAGAGGATAGATGGATAAATGGATCGATAAATGTTCTACATATCTCTCCATCCATTCATCCATCTACAAATCCAAACCACTGTTCATTGGCTGTTTTTATGGTTTCTCATCCATCCACCCATGAACCCATTCAGTTCCATCCATTTATCACTGTTCAAATGTGTCTTTATTGTTCTGCTGATGAAGAAAACCTCCACCTTATAACACTTCAACACTGTTAAAAAAGGTATTTGTGATTCATTTTGCATTTCTTGTGAAGGTATTTTGATAATTGATAACATATTTTGTTATTTTTGTGTGTAACTGGCCAAAATGTGTACTCTTGTATTGAGCAATATTTTGTGCTTCTCTGTTTAGGTGGGCATCTTGTAAATGGTGTTATTCGTAGTAGTCATTGTTTATTTTTGAGGATGCCTAAATAAAAACACTAAATAAACAGTGTTAAAGTATTTAAGGTGGAGGTTTTCCTGTACATTCCGAACCCCCATCAGCCATACATCCAACCGAGGCAGCGGTGTCTTACCGGGGTAGAAGTCTTTGGATTTGGACAGTTTGATGGTGGCTCCAGTCTCTTTCTGCAGCTGGACGATGGTCTGACCTCCCTTCCCGATGATCGAACCCGCCGCATAGCTGGGAATCAAAACCTTCAGGAAGTACTCGCCTTCCTCTGCAGCAGGAAACAGGAAACAGGAAGTCAGAGAGAGCTACTGCAGAGTATGTTGTTTTTACTTCAAATAAAGCTGAAAAAGAAAAATATTACAAGCTACAGTATGCGTTATTAATCTGTTTGAACCTTTGCCCTCATGCTTGCCTTGTTTCTATATTTTTTCCTGCATTCAAGACAATTTTCACCATTCTTACAAATGTTGTTAGGGTTAGGAAAAATGCAAGAAAAAAAATCTCATCCAACACAGGGATCATCTTGCTGGATTGAGTGTAAACTGTGAAGTGGAAGCAAAGTGTTTGTCGGTAATCACAGTCTGACAGAACAGATGCGAGTCTGTGCCGCATCACTACGCCAAAGAAGAATAATTTGTCTCTCTACCACCCCCCCCCCACTCCCTCTTAACCGACCATCCAAGGCTTCCCGAAGCTGCATAAATCCACCCAATCACATCAAACGATGACTGATATCCATGACAACTAATTATTTCCATAATCAGATGATTCCCTGTCGGCGTTATCTCTCCACTTTCTCTGCGTGTCCATTTGCGCCAGCCTCTAAACACTCTCTCCAGATTGGTCTGATCTAATTTCAGCGTTGGGCCCGAGGAATCTGGTCCTCGTCACCGCCTTGGCACGAGGGAAGGAATGAGCTGAGGAATATGCTGCTCGTCGGTTTTGTTGTTAAAGCTAATCAGATTCAACCAACGCTTGTGGATGCATGCATAACACCACATGCCCGCCATGACACACACACATGCACTCATTATCATGTGCAGATCAGCTCACATAAACAAACACAAAGCACATATTCAGATATTTTTATCCAGCTAACATGGAGCTGCACCTGCACTGAGGAATATAGTGTAAACTCTGGATATGAAAGGAAGATGTCGCCTGTTTCATGTAGCCTTGTGCTTTGTGTTCAGCTAACTGCCCTGTTATTGTTGCCCTGGGATAAAGATGTCTTCACAAGCTGAAGCTGCAGTCAGATTTTAATGGAAAAATACATTTGTATAATCAGCCTGATTGAGGAAAACAAGGTGGCCTTGCAACAGAAGTGACCGGCTGTACTTCTTTAAAAGAAAATGCTGAAATTTCATCAGCTTTGGCCACTTTATTTTCACCTCTTTCAGGCTGTTAAGACAAACGTCATGCTTTCATTTTCTCTTGTATTGCTTACACCTCACTCTTTACCACCATTGACGTGCCCTTGAGCAAGGCCCTTAACCCCCAACTGCTCCAGTGAAGCTGCTCAGTGGACAGCAGATCAGAGCGTTCCTGAAAAAAGTTAAACTCCCCCAAATAAATAAGGGTGAAATTAAGCCTTGAACATTAAATGTTCCAATGACAAACAGGAGGCCCCGTTTTGTTATAATACAACAAAGGTCACTTTCACACCCGGTTAAACTGACGTCTTACAAAGAAGCTAAACTAAGAAGCATAAGCATCAAGGTCTATGAACTGACAAGAAACTCATTCACTGTTTTCACAGTTGGGGCGATGTCGTCCCAGCTCATCAGCACTACAGGGACCCGTAAAGGGAAAATAACAAATAGTGAGTGACAGTTTGCACACGATGAGTTTATTTATATTTTCTGATGGACATGGGGGACGTAATTGATTATGAACATCAATCACAGAGACAACTGGACCTCATGTATGTCATAAATGCTGTGCAGCTTCACGAAACATCCAGGTTAGTGAACACGAGCGTGTTCTCTAGCGGCTCTCTGTTGTCAGAGAAAATGTTGAATTTGCATGTGAACTGAAAACAACCTCAATTACAGGTGTGTCGGCTGACTTAATAAGGTTTGACATTTTCAAGGTAATGTTTGTAATTCACCAGCCTCTCCTCTGGGGGATTGAAACCTTTTTTGTCAAAAATTACGAACTGAAGAAAACAAAAGGTCATTTTAATCACTTTGGGTTCATTCAGAGCGGAGGCGCATTCGGTGGCTTCACTCGGTGACACGCTGACCTAAAGTACGAGGAGACTGAACCTGCGACCTTTTGGTTGTAGCCTGCTGCTTCTCTGACAATGCAGTGAGAGAGAGAGAAAATTGACTGAACGTCACGGGCCACTGTAGTTCTCTTCCTCCCACTGTCTTTTTCAGGAAGAGCCACTGACTTGCCCGTTGGTACAGAATCACAATAACAGAGATATGGAGGCATTGTGTCAGAGGTTCATCAGCAGGGATGTGTGTGTGTGTGTGTGTGTGTGTGTGTGTGTGTGTGAATGTGTACGTGTGTTTGGGACAAGGTAGATAAGTATCCTGTTTCCATGGCGACGATATTAACACTTGGTTCCTCATTCCTTCCTCTTTAAAGGGATGTTTCAGCTAAATTTCAGCTGTTTAACAAGAGAGTTTGCATTTGAAACTGATTCCAAATGAAATTAGATAAAGTATCCTTCTAAATGAAAGGGTTTTATTTTGAAGAATTCCTAAAGTTTAAGAAAATGCTCATTTTGGCTTGTTTTGCATGGTTTTATATATCGGGCACACCTCAGCATATGCTGCCATAAACATATAAATATTCAAAGGTCAAGCCACACAAACTGCACTTTTCAAAAATAATGTATATCAAATAAAATTCTATTCACCTCCATTGTATTGGTAACATCCGACACCTCAGAGGTAAATAACTCAAAGCCTCAACAAATCAAGTCAAAACCATCCGAATGGCAAAATATCGGTTTTCTCTCTAAAAAAGAAATTCATGGGATGTTAAGAGGGTGCCATGGAGACTAAAATATATGCTCAAATGTATCAACATTTGCTTGGAAAAGCTGCAAAATTAAGATATTTTAACTGAAAAACATTACATCATTGTGGCACATTAGTAAAGCATCGGAAAAAAAAATCTAAAAATGGCCTTTTTACTTTTTAAATTAATGTGTTCAATTTGACAGGATTTAATACCAGGGATTTTTGCATGCTGCCACCCCTGGAAAACAGCCCCTTGTTTAAGTTTGTGTCATTCTGGTGAACTGACCCTTTACATTTTTTTTAACAAAACCATAATGTTTTTTTTTATTATTTTATCACTATGTAGCTTTGGAAAAAATGTCACCATAACTTCATCCCACATTGTATCATCAAAAGTAAATTAAAATAAAATTTAATTCAACCCACGCTTTGACAAAAAGAGCTTGTGAGAACTCATAACTCTAAAAGAAATCCATAATCTTTTCGCTCTTCACGTCAGCAACAATATAAAAAAGTAGATTTTATTCTTTCATATAATACTATAAAGAAACTCTTCTTCTTCAAGGTTGGGAATCTAATAACAACATAGTTTCTAACATGGTTTTGCAGGGTTATGTCTCTTTAAACTGCCACTGATTCAATGTGTCTCAGCTTTCCTCCCTAGCAGCATTCTTCATATTTGATAATCCAGGACACATAACCTCTGGAGGCAGATTAAAATAGGATTATTATTACAGGGGCACACTTTCTCACAAGGGCGAGACACCTTGTAACACCACTCTTCTCTCTGTCTGCTACTCAGGCCAACAACCAGAAACACTGAACTGTAAAAACACACATGCATACAAAATATTACAATAGCCTGCTTTGACTGCGAGGGACAGACCTGGTACAAATAGATGGAAGATTTATGATCCCATATAGTCTCGCTGTGTGTTATTAAATGCCTTTTGATGGCGGCTACAACTCCCATTAAATCACACTTACGTTGCAACAAAGTGCAACTGAGGTGTTTGTGACACATCGCTATAAATACATTTAATTAGTGAAAGGCCCTACACACACCCTCACAGGTGTGTTCAGTTATTCTGGCTAATCAGGCATCTGTTCAGGTCGATAAGTACAATCATTCAGCAAAGACATGCTGGGAGTCTGTACACCTAACAGAATCATAAAGTTGTCCCGCCTGAACAAGTACAACAGCACTACCGAGAGGGAGGGAGTTAATCAACCACACGGAAGGTGTCTGTACAAACCTACAGAGCCCTGAGAAAATGTCAGACAACTGAAAACACCTGCATGGGTTGAACACACAGGCTTTAAATATCCCTGACAGACACTAGCTTACGAAGGTCTGCTGAAACTTGAATTCCTGACCATCAAAATAGTGCCTCAAAATCCCAGGCGTTCCTTCAAGACCACTGATGATGTTATGAAATCTTGTAAACTCATGATTTTAAAGACCGTTAACACCCATTGTTGCACCCATAATATAAATTGGATAATTAAATTAGACCTCTTCTCAAGACTCTGTGGGTGTGTACAGACTGGACTGGATAGAAGAATATATAGAAGACTAAATTTGTTTAGTAACACTGTTTTACTGCCGGAGAAGTTTCCCAGTTGATAATAATATAATCATAATTCAGATTTTTATGTCTACGTGATTGTCAATTGCAAGGCAGAAACTGGTATTTATTACATGAATGTGATATCAGTAGGAATAACTATAGCTGTGACCTAATTACTGCACTGTAATTGTGAGCAGGTTATAATGTAATGTAATATGTATGGAATGTGCTCACGCTGAGAAGTCATAAAATAATAAATTGTGGATGATTGTGGAACAGTCCACATAATTAATCATTTGCTGTCACTCGTACACTAAAAAAATACACTGACAATTACTATTTGACATTGAGACACACTGCAATCTTGTCTTCATGCTGTGCAATGTTATGTCAAGAGGTGTCATCTCTTTCAAATACAGAAAGTCTTATCTGATGCAACTTTTTGTCTCACTTTCCATTTCTTTAATCCCAAGCTCCAACCTGTCTCAGTTTGTAGTAGTACAGTTCTCAGAGTGTAAAATACTGGGTGGGTTCTGTTCTCATCTCCGAGCGTTCAGCCAAGTCAAAGCATGAGCACATAGACAGGAAACCCGACACTCCCCTGCGCTTCCTCAGCTCTTCTAGTGATGAAATACAAACTGCAGGGAGCTCAGACATGGATGTAGAGGAGAGAGAAAAAACACCAACCCAAGTAAGGGGTTGTGTGTTCAGTGAGTTCAAGC